GCAGCTTCCCTGTTGGTTTGATAAGATTTGGTTAATAATGTTAAGCATATAGTAGCCTATATAGTATTATAGGCTACTATATACTACTTTAGTCCACCACACACATCATGAAGATGTAAAGAACTATTACTTTAGTCAGTGTGGGACTCGTGTATTTAGGATCATTTGGCTGAAATTTACATTGACAAACATTAGTATTTTATTTTTTATTTTAGTAATTTATTATGTACCCCATATCCATCTTCATGCCAGTCCTGTGGGCGGTGGTGGAAAGGGGTTACAGAGGCACACAATGGGTGCAGGAACTGAACCCATTAGTTCATGATGTCAACACAAAATAGGGAAGATCTTTAGTGTTATTACATCGCTGATAGCGTGGGGTCACAAGCCTAGTTGATTGTTGTGCAGTGCGTGGCTGTCATGTTGCGTGCGTGGGCGTGGTGTTGCGTGCGTGGGCGTGGTGTTGCGTGCGTGGGCGTGGTGTTACCTGCCGCAGGCGTGGGCGTGAAGACGTGGTGGAGGCGGATGCTGGCCACATCCTGGAGGCTGGTGGCTCTCCTCAACACCTGATGGCGGGGCCGTCGCATGGGCTCCAGGGTGTCCGGGGTCACACACCTGTAGACGACATCACGAAGCACCGGGGTCAGGGGTCAAGGGCACACTGGGGGGGTCAGGGGTCAGGGCTCAACGATTGAAAAATTGTGATGTTGATGATAAAGTTGAGAATGCTACTCAGATAATTCCTTATATTTGTAATACTTTAATCATAATAATATATATTTATAACTATTATTACAGCAAAAATAACAACCACTACTAATACTAATGTTGTTATTAGTGAAATGTGAGTAGAGTAGCAAATATCAGGGTCTCTGGGCATGAATGGACAATGTGAGCTCTGGAGGGGTCGTGTCGGCTCCGGACGGGTCGTGTCGGCTCCGGACGGGTCGTGTCGGCTCCGGACGGGTCGTGTCGGCTCCGGACGGGTCGTGTCGGCTCCGGACGGGTCGTGTCGGCTCCGGAGGGTTCGTGTCGGCTCCGGAGGGTTCGTGTCGGCTCCGGACGGGTTCGTGTCGGCTCCGGACGGGTCGTGTCGGCTCCGGACGGGTCGTGTCGGCTCCGGACGGGTTCGTGTCGGCTCCGGACGGGTCGTGTCGGCTCCGGACGGGTCGTGTCGGCTCCGGACGGGTCGTGTCGGCTCCGAGGTAAAACGTGTCTTAATACTAATGCCATCCAACTCCACCAGACTCGCCATTCCCCGTGCATGACGGCCAGATTAACTACTGTATCATCCACTAGTCGGTCTCGACGACCAGAGGACCGATATGCCAAGCTTCACCAGCTGCCAGTCTCCACTGTCACTCACTATCACCAGCTGCCTCACGCATCTGGTGGCCACTGTTAGCTCAGGTACCTTTCGTGTAGGTTTATGAAGCTAGAAATACATGTGACGGGATGCTGGATTCTTGGTGATATAAAGAGCTGGGAGAAAGTCGCCTCAGAAACCGGCTCGCGGCGTTCGTGCCCCGCTGGTAGATGCCATGGACGATGACGTGTAGGGTCTTAAGTGTCGCCATGACCAGTAATATGAAATGTGATTGGTGTAGGCACTTCAGGAATCCTCACAACAGTCGCAGGAGGGCGCTCAGATCTGTGAAGCTGCATGTGTTGTGGTCTGATCTGCGGAGCGTTTAGTCTCCTGGTCACGGGTGCGTGGATGAGTTGGGGGGGAAGGAGTGACGGGTGTGTGGATGATGGGGAGTGTGCCTGAGGGGAAGCGAAGGGCTGCAGGCTTAAGTGGGAATGAGATGTGCGTGGGGACGAGTGAGTGTGTGAGAGATTTGAATGGGTGAGGGTAGTGGAGTGCGTGAGGGATGTGTGCGTGCCGTCTCTCTCTCGTGTGATTTTATTATCATGCAACCAAGCTAACCTGGGCATCCCCTCCCCACTAGCTCCCTCCCTTCCCCCAGCCCTGATCGTCCAGCCTGTGCGTGCATTAATGACACCGGGAACCCGCTTAGCGGACCCGGAACTTTGATACATCGTCTCTAAAGTCTGGTTTTACTGTCGGACTAAATAGCTAAAAGAACGGGAGATATGCAGGAAAACACCCGGGGATTTACAAAAAGAAGAAAAACACAAAAATTAACGCCAGATTCGTTTGGGGAGAAAATGTTGAATTGCTGCAGTTTAGTCATAATGGTTCTGGAAGCCGTGTGTACACGAGTACAGTCCCGGGCCAATACAGGGTTCCTGGTGTATGTTTACCGTGCTCTAAATCTATACACCCGTATACAAAACGTCAGACTTCGCGAATACGTCATTTGGTACAAGCTACGACGATGTCGTTTTCTGTTTTTCGTATAAGTTTCCCAAGTTGGGGAATATACCTCATAGTTTAGACCTAATAATACCTTTACTCTTATAAGTGATGTTCTGAGATTGCCTCTTTGTATTCAATTGAACCCTGCAACACGTTTGTACATTGATAAAATCAAGCTTTGCAATAACAATGTAGCAGACTGGAGAACCTATTTTAAAGTCTCGTCACGGAGCGAAATCTCTGTGCAATGTTACCAGTGTAAATAAGCGTAACTACGCTAAAATCTACACACGTGCCCTGAGGCCTGCAATGTTCTGGATCGTCTCCACAAAAACACGCCCTGATGCCCCGGGAAGTGCTGTGGACACATGTGTGTGTGTGTGTGTGTGTGTGTGTGTGTGTGTGTGTGTGTGTGTGTGTGTGTGTGTGTGTGTGTGTGTGTGTGTGTGTGTGTGTGTGTGTGTGTGTGTGTATTCACCTAGTTGTGTTTGCGGGGGTTGAGCTTTGCTCTTTCGGCCCGCCTCTCAACTGTCAATCAACTGTTTACTAACTACACTAACTACTTTTTTTCACACCACACACACACACACCAGGAAGCAGCCCGTGACAGCTGACTAACTCCCAAGTACCTATTTACTGCTAGGTAACAGGGGCATTCAGGGTGAAAGAAACTTTGCCCATTTGTTTCTGCCTCGTGCGGGAATCGAACCCGCGCCACAGAATTACGAGTCCTACGCGCTATCCACCAGGCTACGAGGCCCCTACGTCTGTGTGTGTACACACACACACGTAGGGGGGGGGCACGTGTGTGTGTGTGTGTGTGTGTGTACACACAAAAGGCAACAGGTACACAAAAGTCAATGTTTCTTTATAGCCGGTTCAGTAGCCTTTTCTCTTTTTATCCATCAGCCGTTTATAGTTGGCCATTTCTGGTTCAGATAAGGTTATGCATTTCTCAATACAATCTATAACGATCACAAATATCTTGAGGCGTTTATAGATATTTTTTGAGCTTAATCACCTTGTCACCTGCGTTTGCGTTGGAAAACTGGAGGGCAAATAGCCTCGTTCTGTTGTTCTGACCATATTTTGCTACTCTGTGTGAGTGGTTCATGTGTGTGGCTGCTAAGTCAGACTCCAAGCTTTTAAATATGTGTCCTGATTATCTATATTACAATTCTAGTCTCTTCAGACCAGGAATTAATACAGTAATCTTCAGTTATGAGTGAGTGAGTGAATGAAGTAAGGGCGAAGAGGTAGAACGGTCTATTGACATAGCTCGAGTGCATGGGGAAATTGTGTAAAATCCTGGATTGTGTCTCGGAGAGGCTGCAGGGTCCAAGTAAGGTCAATAGAACTTCTGGTTGCAATTATTTTAACCATGTCGTAGCTCAGTTGATTAAGGCAGCGTCTGGGATGCTCTCGGACGTAAGTTCGAACCCTCGTCACGGCCCTTGGAGATTTGTTTGAGTGAATGGAGTTTGATCAGATGCAGCAACTTACCTCCTGAAGGGGGCGAGGCGGGAGGTGTGGACGAAGAGGGACGGCGCCGGGGAGTCTGGCCGCGAGTCAGAGCGGGCAAACCTGGCCAGGAACTCCTCTGGGATGTTTACCTGCAATTGGCAGGGACCATTGAAATTGAAATTGACCATTGTTGGTGCAGGGTGACTGGTAATGGTAGACACACTATTCCCCTTTATTTTGAGGTGGGGGAAAACTTGTGAAGTTTGTCGTATAAGGGCTTGGGTACTAAGGATACCAATAAGTAAGTCTGGGGTCCGTCCTCACATTGAAACATTTTTAGCATTTTGTCTATGATATATATATCATACATATAGCTTTTCCACGCGCTTAATAATAATCAGAAATTTGTATTTTGATGTTTTTTATTTATTCTACCTTTTTAGACGTGTTACAGAGTCTTCACCCGAAGTTACAGGTCTATTAGCCTGGGAGGACTAGTAGGGAAAAGTATTAAAAGAACCCAGTTACGAATAAGTTCGTAACAGAAAGAAAATGATAAGTAGTGACAGGGAAAGAGGGGTGAAAAGTGAGGTCAAGGAACAAAGAGAAGTGTACCTGGAGTCCCTCGGTGCCCAAGGGGGTGAAGGGCATGCTGGAGGGAGTGCGTCGGTCGCCGGCGTCTCCCTCGCCGTCCGCCTGCGTGGTGCCCGCTCGCGACATGTGGGCTCGAACCTCCTGCAGCTGGTGGAGTCCACAGAGGGTACACATTCAAAACTATCCAATACCCAATATTGAACCCAATACCCATCCACAGGATGGGGTATTGGGTTCAGCACCACCAGCACATATATGTATTTCGCACCCCCAACATGTACTTTGTTCCACCACATGCACCCTGTGCTTCTATATGTATCCTGTATCACCACATGTACTCTTTACCCCCCACATATGTACTCTGCATCCCACCCTCAAAGAGCAAATAGGTGTTGGGTAATCTGTGATTGGGTATTATATAATTATTAACATGTTTAATAATTACCAAAGCAATCAATTTATTATACAGTTCGTTTATCCTGGGAATGGTCAGTAATTCGACCTTGTGGGACTGAGCACAGAGTCCAAATTTAGCTAAATCATTTGCTCGTAAGTAGGAAATTGATTACCATCTCTGATTGCCTCTGAGCAGCCTGAGGGCAGCAATATTCCTGGAAAATGAAGAATACAATAGTGTATGCTTTAAAACTCTTAGAGAGAATGAATTGTAGGAACGTCAACAGAAAACGATGACGTTGGAATGTCTGTGGGGTATACTACAGGGAACTGGATAGATAAAGGGTCCCCCAACAAGTCACACGATGTTTATGGGGTCCACTACCCAAAAGGATAGATATGCGGTCCACTAGCACCTTTTGGATGGATATGGTGGCCACTACCACCCTCTTGGAAGTGGTTGTTCAGGGCCTCTGAACAACCCGAGGGCTGAAATGTTCAGAAACCAACATTCGACTACAGGTAATTCAAATAATTTATTAAAATTAATATTTATAGTTCACCTATAGTACACATTGCTACCACCTATGGCTCCTTATATTAGTATTTTGAATAGTTTTAAGGTTTAATAATTAAGATTGTAGTAAAGTCGTCATCGAAGATGATGGCTGTTGACAGATGAATATTTTTTACTAAAATAGTTAATAAGTTTCCATTCTGTCGATTAATGTTTTAAACTCGTGATTTAAACCACTATTTAACAATACATCCTGTTTAAGGTTAGCACTTAGGAGCAATCTTGCTTTTTCTCGGTAAATTATAATAAGCACACTATAAATTACATAATGTTTTAGCTAAACATTATATACTATCACCTCCCCCTAGTTGAATGGATATTGGGTCAAATTCCGTCCCTTGGATAGGTTTTACAGTAGTCCCTAATTTCTACCCCATAAATATAACAGGAAGGGTAATAGGTCCGAATTGTAGGTTATTACGTGACCTAAGAGGTCAGATGGGGCATCAACTGGAGGCTGGGGGGGGGGGGTGAGGTATTATGGACCCATGTTAGAGGGTGGGTTTGACCCCCCACCCAGTTAATTACAGAAGATTTAAGGTTACCTGCCACTCGTGTAATACCAAGGGTATTGCTTGCATGCATGCGTGCTTACATACATACATGCTTAAGCATTTTAGGTTTCCAATTACTACCTAGACTCTTAAACTTAGCATAACCATTATCATAAATTGATTGAAAATTTAAATTTCTTGTATATTTGCACATTAATATTAGCTACTATAGTCTTTAAAATAATCCAGCATAGTTAATGAACTCTCCTGCTTTTGTACAACAGCGTCTCTAGTCCATAATTATGTTGCTTATTTGTTACGGTAGTTGATCCCCGATAACAATCACATTCAGGTAGTTGACCCATAAACAGTGTAGTTGTGCACCCCCATATCAATCCTGTGGGCGGTAGTGAAGGTTAAGTGTCTAACGAAGGCTTAATGAACTGCATATACGTAACTATATTAATGTGCAATATAAACCATTTGAAACTTGACATCCTCTCGTCCCCCAGGTCCGGCCAACTACAACCAGACAAGAGAGCAACGATGAGTCTGTACATCTACAACCACGGAATAAAACGGTACACTATAAATCAAGCCGTAAATGAATTGGATCAAATATGCACTGATGGGTCGTCTAATCCTGTCAATGACAGGGCTGGTGCGGCATACTGTAATTAGGAATAATGCCTTTCAACGCGAAAAGGAAGAAAATGCACGTATTGAACTGCCTCTTAAACGCAAGCGGTTAACTGCCATTGTAGCGTTGATGTCTTGAACGAAACGCTAATAGTGCAGCGCTCTGCACAGATTAAAGTGCTATAAAGCCTTGGTGGAAATCAGGCAGAAAATCTTTGACAAGTCGCTGAAATAAAGACCTGTGAGAATATTAACCAATCGGAAGTAGTCTAATTTGTGGATCCCATCCCATGTTGGAATCTATGGAAATTAACGAGCAGATGAATGCTCGGCTGCTGAAGACCATATTGAATACGTCATACCCAAGACACTTACAAATTACAGGTATCAGGCAATATCACCGCGTCAAGGTAATTAAGGAAAGGATAGAAGTACAAATCGGTGAATCTGTACGATGGTACAACATGGTTGCAGCTGGCAATCCCAATCAATATGGACGAAGAGATATCCGCAGGAGAGAATTAGTAATAACAAGAATCCGTCTTGGATACAAATATCCAGAGATTCAGAATGGAAACGTTTGAGCAGAAGAGTTGCAAAATCTGGTATGATGGACACCGCCTTGACCCACTACCAATGTGTAGACATCAGTCATTAGACATGTATAGCATAATAAATCCCACATTGGTTTGAGTTAGGAAAACTTTTTGTCAAATACTGTTGAGAGATTTATCCATTTTTGCACCCGCAAGATAACGCAAGATTTTAGTGGTTGACAATATTAATATTCTTGCTTGAAAAGCTGTTCATTTGAAGCAGTTAGTCCCAGCTGTGTCTGGGTACAAGTGACGGGATGAACAACCCAGCGGGTTTTCTTCCTATTGGGGAGTGTTGTACATGCTGCTATGGCGGTGTGTCCACTCACAGGATGAGTGGCGCTGCCTAATAAACTCGCCCCTCGGGGCAAAACTGCATTTAAAACTATATATTGTCCGTCAACACTGTCTTTTTTAATTATATATATCTCTCTGCCCGTGTGTCTGTCTCTCTCTCTCTCTCTCTCCCAAAAACTAATTTAGACATACTAAGGAATCTAGTTCCAGACTAGAATGTCTTGCCCTCTCATCTACAACACCTTCCTCGTATCTTGCATTTAGTAATACCATTGAAGCTTGACATTTATTATTGGGCGATAAACACTTAATTGTCAAGACTTGACAGTACGAAGTTTACTCCCTCGGTATGACAGCCCTACTATAATATCGACTCGTGTAAACTTTAAAGGGGCTATAAAACCACCCATTAGCTCCACAGGTCTGCAGAGAAACAGGAGGCTGAACTGCAGAGGCTTAGTTTCCAGTTATACAGTGACTACACTGAACTGGCCTGGTTAAATACTTGGTTGTGGGAAGTTTCAACTTAACTTTCCTGATGATATACTTTAAATCTGCCGCCGTTCCAGTCTGCTGAAATAGACATAAGAATTTTAAAACAAATTCAAAGGACTTATTTTGTGGGTACCCAGCTAACCCTCAAGATTGTGTACCCGCCTAGTTGTGCTTGCGGAGGTTAAGCTTCGGCTCTTGGTCCCGCCGCTATACTATCACTCGACTGGTGTAAAGATTCTTGCGCCTACTGGGTTCTATCATATCTACATTTCAAACTGTAGTGCCGCCTCCACGTTAACGCCTAATGCATTCCATCTTAACTACCGACACAGGTCTTTCAAATTTGTAGCTCGGCCAAACTGAGTGGAAGGTAGAACGACGGTCGCTTCATGCAGGTCCGTGTTCAATCTCTGTGGCTTTGTTGCAGCTGCCACCCCTACCACCGTTCTCGCACTTGCTTAGTCAATATTGGCTTATTAAATAAGTGACATACTATACTAATTGATTGTGAATATTTTAGTTTACCTTGAAAAGCTTCATAGAAAACGACCTAACTACCTTTGTTTTCTATGAAGCTTTTTAGGGTAAACTAAAATATACTAATTTATTGAATGTCACATGCACATAGTAAATGTTGATTTATTTAATAAAAGTGCGAGAACGGGTTGCACCATTCCCCCACCTCGGTCCCATTCCAAATCCTTACAACTTCAAATACTATGTAGGTCTAATGGCTTTGCGCTTTTTCCCCGATAATTCCCTCATGTGGGCACTGTTTCCCCTTGTTCCACCCATGCTAAAGTTTGTCCATCGTCAACTTAGTAATGATCACGTTCAAAATTCCCTTTGTCTTCCAGAGACGTGTCGTTTACTTCCCGTAGCATTTCCTCTTAAGTCATACCTCTTATGGTACTAGACTGCTCCTTGGACCGGATGTCTAAGATGTATGCACAGATCTTGTGTGATAGTCGTGCAGCGGACATCTGTTGGATCTAAGGATAATCATCTTCTGAATAAGTCTGCGAAAAGCTAAATAGTCTTGAAGTAAATTATATTATTCCGGCTGAAAGAATGATTGGCGAGTCCGATATGCTTTTGTTATCGCTCGACTTGCCCCTATATCGGCATAATCTCTTGATATTCAACTGGCACTGTCTCCACTAGAGTTCTTTAATATCTTCGTCCTACTGCCTCGTATCAAAGATTGCATTTTATATGGACAAGCAAACCCAAAATTAAGTGGGAGATACGTATGAGCTTTATTTCAAGAGATCAACGGTACTGTTAGAGCTAAAAACTTCATTATCACCCTTATCCTGACCCCTTCCAAGTGATGGAGTCAATGGCTTTGCAATTTCTCTTGATAAATCCCTCTCAAGCGACTGTCAGCAGCATCAGTTGGAAAACGTAGCTCAGACTAGTGGAACAAAAGATCTTTGAAAGTAATTATCAAAACCACTAAACGGGCAAGGCTATGTAGCACCATCAAATGTGCGGAATAATCAGAGGGCGCTAAATATCACCAAGGATGATAATACGAGAACAAACGCATAAGGCGAACGATAAAAGTCACCAAGAATTATATCGAGTGACAAGTGACCGCGAGGGACGGTCGGAAAACAAGACATGCTCGTCCTGTAAGTCGAGACATTCACCAAGGATATACACGATTAAGAGGAACAAGGCAAGATCTTTGAAAGAAACCCAAAAGTTCCTGGGATAAATGGAGTCGGCAATAATGGAACGCCGCAGACCAGCGGGAGTGTTCACGAAATTTTTCTCCGTTCAGGACAGACCGACCAAGAGTCTGTACTCGTGCTCCAGGGCGTCTCAACACGCGGGCCACCGCCCTTCAGAGGGTTATCTTGAGATGATTTCGGGGCTTTAGTGTCCCCGCGGCCCGGTCCTCGACCAGGCCTCCACCCCCAGGAAGCAGCCCGTGACAGCTGACTAACTCCCAGGTACCTATTTACTGCTAGGTAACAGGGGCATTCAGGGTGAAAGAAACTTTGCCCATTTGTTTCTGCCTCGTGCGGGAATCGAACCCCGCGCCAAAGAATTACGAGTCCTGCGCGCTATCCACCAGGCTACGAGGGTGGCGACGAAAATGCGATTGAGGTTTCGGTAATCTACAAGTAACGAGGCTGACGTTACTACTGTTGCCAGGCCGTTTATGACCAACTCCCGCATCTTAATTAAAGTAGAAGTTCATCTTCAACCAAATATAATGAAGTAATTGTCAAGAAGGCACCAAACCGGTTAGGCTATGTTGCGCTAACAAATCAATTAAAATATATCTATCACCAATGCAAAAATCTTTACACTGAATATGCTTGCATCACAGCTTTGTTCCAAATGTTAAGTCAATTTAATTGAAAACGTCAGAGTAATGTACTTTTGTTAGTCCTGCTAGAATGTCATGCAAAACTCCCACCCCCATTATGTTTCTAAAACTAGAAATTTAATTAAATCTGTTCCATCTGTAAATAAGCATTTATGAAGTGTACAATTAGTGACTTATTACTCTTTCAGACTGCATTTTTTACTATATACATGTGTATTTCTCTCCACAGAACTGCCAAGTGTCTTGGTTGCCCAAATAGAATGTACTTGAATACTTAACCCGTCCTTAGACCAAGTCCATTCCATCCATTGGTCTACCCAAAGACAGAGGGGGGGGGGGGGGAATTTTAACATACTATTGTTCATACCCTTCCCCCTGCACTGTTCATGTCATTGAGACACTTCCCAAGCCATTAATAGTTTCTTTAACCGTCGACTAATATTTTACCATTTTAAACAAAAACTAAGGACACTTCAGGTCCTTAGTGGCAAGTTTTATAGACATTAAGAAACCTCCTGGCTAAGGTATTCAAGAAGATTGTGTGCTAGTTTAAAATTTTACTATACAACTTCACTATAAATTAGCCCATTTTCTGGCAAAAACCAATATCAATGGCTAGTCTCATGACAAGACGGTGACAGCCAATATGTCACTATGCCGTCGTTACAGATGTTCTTCTGCATCCCGAGACAGTCTTCTTCGCCTTCCCAGTTGTCTGGCTGTAGTCTGCTGAGCCTGTGAAAGGGAGGACGAGTTAACATCAACTTATAAATTTTCCTAATATTTACCTACTTAAATTTTTTAGATTAAAGACCTGCCCGAAACGCTGCGCGTACTAGTGGCTTTACAAAGATGTAATTACTATGCTATGTATCCTCAATCCCAATGCATCGTATATATAAACAAACTTATTCCTTATAATACTATTAAATCTTGTGACGTTAATGCAAGTCTTACAGACCTCTACAGCTGTTTAAGCCCTTATGAGCAACCTACCAAAAGTCCTACCAAACATCCCGTATGTTGATAATTTTAGCTATATGACTAGTTAAACATACTGACCCTCTGGTGTGAGAAGAGTTGGAGCAGGACAGTTTACCCTGATCACCGCCAGGTCCTCACGCCTCGTTCGGTGCCGCTTGTCCACATGAACTGGATCTCACCTAAACAAATATCACTGTCTTAGGAAAATTCTTTGGCATTTAAATTTTTTGTCTACCAGAATAACCATATTTGAAATACATTTGCATTAAGTATTAGTTCATAAAAGGTAAAATATTAAGTACTCACATCTGCATATAACGCTGTTTAAAACATCCTTATTTTAAATTTACACTGGAAGCATTTGCCAGGACTAGCAGTAAGAGTTTGCTTGATCCCTGCTGTAGGTATTGCTATTCACGCACCAGGAAGGGTAGTTCTTACCAACTGTGGTAACATGTACCTACAACAAAAGCAAAGTTTACTAAAGGGACAATAAGAGCCAAGATATACCTGCATCTTGGGTACTCTAAGCACATTCAAATGTCAGATCAAGACTAGTGTTTCACCAAATCAAACATTTTACTTACCATGTTAGCAGGTATTCTACAGGATGAAGTGTCCAGTTTGCTGTGACTCTGGTCAAGCTTCTTACCGCCTTGTGTAGACCCGAGGCGCTGACAATTTCACCACTACGAACCGGTAGTCAAATATCGTTTAGGTGCAATGGTAAAGACGAATTATTTCCTTGTATATATAGAAGGAAGTTTATATAGAATTAAAATATATAAGGGGGAGGGAGACGTACTAAAAGTTGAACAGAACCTAGTTCATGGGTTCTAGAAAATTTAATTAAGTTTCCTAGAATTACACCTCTAGCCTGCTGAATTTACGTAGTCATTAAAACTAGTTTTAAATTCGTAGTTTTAACTAGTAACTCGACTGTACACTTACAGGAAATAAATTTTTACCCGATTTCAAGGTTAAATAAACGTCAAGTGCCAGCCTCTGGCATAATACAAGTGGGGTAGAGGGTTATAAGGTAGCTGTGTCTGCTATAGTGCCACACGCACCATGATGCGCACTTTACCTAACCTACGATTCGTCAAGGTTAGGTCTGACTTAGTTCTCCCCCCATAAAGGGAAGGGGGACGCAGCAAAGGGAAGGAGAAGGGAAGGGGGAGGGAGGGGGACGCAGCAAAGGGAAGGAGGGGGGGGGGACGGGGACGCAGCAAAGGGAAGGGGGGAGGGAGGGTGGACGCAGCAAAGGGAAGGGGGAGGGAGGGAGGGGGGAGACGCAACAAAGGGGCAGGGAAGGAGGGGGGGATCCTCACCATACGGCTCACCTTCAAGAGACGAAGCTGGAACTGTATACCAAAAGTGAGGTAAAACAACACTGAAGTGCTTTTTGTCTCATCGTCACTTTTATACCCAGCAGCCCACCAAACCCGGCCGCTGATTGGTCGACATTCACCCTAAAACTCACCCCCATTGGTTAACATTTTGCGAGTCTGAAGTGTCAATTAACAATGGCCAACAACCACTCCTTTACCTCCACAAATACGAACGAGTCTCTAATGAACCAATAAAGATCTGCAGCTTGACTGAAGTTGTTAATTTCTAAATCTAATTCACAAATCAAACACAACATTTATTTATTTATTTATAAGAAGGTACATTGGGTTTACGAGTGTACATAGCATTGATGTGTTTACGTTCTTGTCAAGTTATTAACACGCGCAGCGTTCCGGGCAGGTCCTTAAGTTAACAAATAATTTTAAGTAGGTAATTTCTAGCAAAATTTATAAAATGTTAACAGGTACATTATAAGAAATTTTGACAAAGATTAGTAGGTACATTAAAGTCAAATTTGAGGGTTATAAACAGGTACATGGTAGCATAATTTGAGCATTATCTCAGGGTATAATGCAATAAAATATAATGCAGTTCAATATAACTGCCATGATATAAGATGATAGCAATGATTACAATGGTAAAGTTGTATGGCTTAGGTACATATACTAGGGGATTAGATAGCACCTCATACAGTGTGAGCTTAAAGCACTAGGTAGAAAACTAGGAAGATGAAATTAGGTACTTTTTGGTTTTATTTTCGATTAAGGCAAACGTTGGGCAGCTTTTCATTTCGTAAGGGAGCGAGTTCCATAGACTAGGTCCCTTTATTTCCATCGAGTGTTTACACAGATTAAGTTCTATTGATTTATATTCTATTGTAAATGTTACAACAGAACAGGTAAGGGAAGGGGGAGATTGTCCCATGAAGCTTATACAGGGAAGCAAGGAGATTGTCCCATGAAGCTTATACAGGGAAGCAAGGAGATTGTCCCATGAAGCTTATACAGGGAAGCAAGGGAGGATTGTACCATGAAGCTTATACGGGGAAGCAAGGGAGGATTGTACCATGAAGCTTATACAGGGAAGCAAGGAGATTGTCCCATGAAGCTTATACAGGGAAGCAAGGGAGGATTGTACCATGAAGCTTATACGGGGAAGCAAGGGAGGATTGTACCATGAAGCTTATACGGGGAAGCAAGGGAGGATTGTACCATGAAGCTTATACAGGGAAGCAAGGAGATTGTCCCATGAAGCTTATACAGGGAAGCAAGGGAGGATTGTACCATGAAGCTTATACGGGGAAGCAAGGGAGGATTGTACCATGAAGTTTATATAGGGAGGCAAGGAGATTGTACCATGAAGCTTATACAGGGAAGCAAGGAGATTGTCCCATGAAGCTTATACAGGGAAGCAAGGGAGGATTGTACCATGAAGCTTATACAGGGAAGCAAGGGAGGATTGTACCATGAAGCTTATACAGGGAAGCAAGGGAGGATTGTACCATGAAGCTTATACAGGGAAGCAAGGGAGGATTGTACCATGAAGCTTATACGGGGAAGCAAGGGAGGATTGTACCATGAAGCTTATATAGGGAAGCAAGGGAGGATTGTACCATGAAGCTTATACAGGGAAAGATTATAAATATAAGAAATAAGACGAGAAGAAGTTTGTTTACAAATGAGAAAAATAATAAAATAACTTATTTTTTAAATATCTTTGTAATATAAAAGTTGCCAAATTGACAAAGTTTTTTTCGTGGCTAGAGATTTAGTGTTAGAAAATCGACATTATCTAGACACGAAAATGTCTGGTATATATATGAATCTCTGTTTACATTTGTGACAGCGCTGTCCGCGTCTCGCCATGTTCCGTAATTACTCCTTAAAGTTGCTTGACCTTCAAGGGTCGTTAAACTGGTCACGCTGGGTCACTCATCTGGTGGAGGTCCTCCTACGCAGGGTAATCACTGTTGACACAGCCTCGGTAATGAGGGTGCGGTGGAAAGCGGTCTTTGAAGGGCTCTCATTAGGTTATAATTGGCAGTTCGTCTCGTCAGTCTTAGTCACTCTTGCAATACTTCGCTTAGTTTTGTGATAAACTTGATTTTATTATATTATTTTTTTCAATATTTTATTTATTTTTATTTATATATACAAGAGTTCTTACAATCTTGTAAAGCCACTAGCACGCATAGCGTTTCGGGCAGGTCCTTAATCTTAATTTTTTCCCAGAATATGACCCGCCAAATCGTTTAGCAACCAGGTACCAGATGCAATTAGATGCAGTTAAGATCTGGCGCCCAGTCAGTCCTCTCCGGACAGGATACGAACCCTGGCCAAAGCGCTCGCGAAGCGCCAATTGAGTGCTTTACCACTGCGCCATAGGGACTACATACTTTGATAATGAGAAGAAATACTTTGAGGAAAATGAATGATGAAGGGAAGGGAACTATCCGGGGGAAAGCACCAAGCCATGACGACTATATAGCACTGGGAAAGGGTCAGGATAAGGATTTGGGATGGGACGGGGGGAAAGGAATGGTGCCCAACCCTTTGGACGGTCGGGGATTGAACGCCGACCTGCATGAAGCGAGACCTTCGCTCAATGCATGAAGGCCAGCAGCTTTACATAGTAATTGCTGATGAGTTGTGCTGATAACAGGCTTAACAATACATTTCAATAGGTCATTTTTTGTAGGAATTACTGCATGTTGCCTTCACACAGGATGAGTAGTCTACGTCCTCGCCTCACAATCATCAGGCATCAGATGAAAGGAAATGCACCCAACCATTACAGTCTCGCCCAGGAATGGAACCCGGGATCCCCGATTATCAGTCGAGAACGCAGCCACTGTGCTACAGGACCAATCTACCCAGACCAAATCAGTACTATCTTGTTATAGATTCAGATACTGGGAGCAAAAAGTTCCAAGTAGCACGAGCTATGGTGAGCCCGTAGTGGACTTACCTGGCACAGGAGCGGGGCAAGTAGCACGGGCTATAGTGAACCCGTAGTGGACTTACCTGGCACAGGAGCGGGGCAAGTAGCACGGGCTATGGTGAGCCCGTAGTGGACCTACCTGGCACAGGAGCGGGGCAAGTAGCACGGGCTATGGTGAGCCCGTAGTGGACTTACCTGGCACAAGAGCGGGGCAAGTAGCACGGGCTATGGTGAGCCCGTAGTGGCACAGGAGCGGGGTTGACACGAAAAAAAATCAGTACTACAAATGGTTACATTACCCATGACGCTCGGGTCAGGTTGAGAAGGTTGCGGTGGGTGTGCGGGGCGGTGGGGTGGTTGCAGAGGACCGAGCAACCCGGGTGGTCGGTGTAGGGAGACCGTAGGAGACCGTATGGCCGCTGGGAGTAGGCCGGTCGCTGGACGATCTGAATGTACTCCATCCTGCCGCAGTGTGCTGAGGGAGAGATACGGATACAAGGGATCTCTTATCCACTGTCTGGCTCTATAATCTTTGTGTTAACATCTCCAGATTGTTCAAATGTTAATGTTATGAAACCCATAGTTAGGTATGTGTTTGGTAATAGTTGAGGAGACCCACTGGAACCCTCTTCAGCTGAGGAGACCACTGGAACCCTCTTCAGCTGAGGAGACCACTGGAACCCTCTTCAGCTGAGGAGACCACTGGAACCCTCTTCAGCTGAGGAGACCCACTGGAACCCTCTTAAGCTGAGGAGACCACTGGAACCCTCTTCAGCTGAGGAGACCACTGGAACCCTCTTCAGCTGAGGAGACCACTGGAACCCTCTTCAGCTGAGGAGACCCACTGGAACCCTCTTCAGCTGAGGAGACCCTTGGAACTACAGTAATCATGTACTACTGTCCCACAATAGAGTGAGCTAGGGCCTACCTCGGGCGGCTTCCTGCTGTAGCCTGTCTGTTGTTGCTGCTGGCGACACATAGAAGACACTGGCACACCCACCCACGTCCCTTTACGGGCTATTCATGCCCGTGCCACCTCTTGGGTGGCTTAATCTTTATCAATCAATCATCCACCCACTTCCCTCACAGACACTGCTTCCGCCAGACCTCCGCCCTCCCGTCAGTCATAGCCACATTTCAAGATTATCAGTCACACTAATATCAATGTAAGTTACAATTCCCACCTCTCTGCTATCCATCAGTAATCACCGAGACGATAACAGAACTTTGTATTATAATTCTCATTAGATCATCGCCCCGTAATTATAAATCTTTAAAATTCGCGCCGACCAGGTCAATTGGTCTTGTGTGAATGTAGATCGAGTGAGGAGAGTTTGTGTTGGTGGGGACGGAGGTCTCAGTCACCACCAGCCGCCACGTCAATACCTGCACCTTCCCCGTCCACCGTCCCAGACGCACTGGCAGGACCTCGTGTCTCGCCCCTCTCTTGCTAGGCTCCCCTCCCTCAACCGTTATTTCAAATTACCGTTATTTCAAATTTAAATTTAAAATTTTCCATTCTGTTCGTTTCTCACTCCTTAAATATCTTCGCTAAAGCATTCCCCATCGGTCGAAAGGAAGAATAGCTAAAACGGTAAGTAATTATAACCGATCTGAAGTGAATTTGTTTGTAATGTTTGCCAACTAAGGAAATATACGGAACACAGCACGCACGCACCGGCGCCGCCACGAGCCAATTTTCGTCTTTATGGACCTCTCTTTACACAGTGGCCGCTGGTTGCTAAGGCCACTGTCGATGCAGCCAATTTTCTTTCATTTCTCGCGCCTCTTATTACAGGCGTCTTATATTTGCTATTTCCCCGGCGACGGAGAAATTGCCTCGCCATTTTAGCCTTCTCGACATGCAATATTCGACGAAATGTTTGGTATTTTCGATCACAATTTCACGTGTGATTGTGTACAATTTAGTTCATGTGTCTGAGGCAGGCGAGGTGCTAGAAAAGGCGCGCAACGGTGCGCCGAGGAGGGCCAGGTGTACAGAAAGGTGCCATAGTGGGCCAGGTGTACAGAAAGGTGCCATAGTGGGCCAGGTGTACAACGAAAAATATATCAAGTAATGCCAAATGTTCAACAAGGTACCAGGGAAAGCCAGATGTTGCAGAAGCTTATGTGTATAATGAGGGGAAAAAGGAGTCAGATGTGCAGTGAGGTTAGGGATGATGGTCAGGTGTGACACAGGTCAGAGAAGGTTAATCGTGCAACACGGGCAAGAAAGGGCGAGTCACGTGTGTAGCACAAGTAAGAAAGGGCGAGTCACGTGTGTAGCACAAGTAAGAAAGGGCGAGTCACGTGTGTAGCACAAGTAAGAGAAGGCGAGTCACGTGTATAACGAGGGAGAAGGGAGAGGGCCGGAGCAATAGTCGCCGGGACCCACATAAAAATCATTACACGATTTGAGAACGCTTTTGTCTTGGCGAGTGTAACCGGCCCTTGTTGCACTGGGCAGTGTAGTCTCCTTGCTTATCTCCTCTGTTTTTTTTAAAGTGTTGCCTATGTTTTTTTTAATTTGTTCAAAAATCCCACATGAAACAAAAATGTAAAAATTTAAGTCAAACTCCTTATCCACATTTCAGGACCCAATATTAATATCTCAATTTAAATAATTTTAAATTCTCCTCCTCGTACTTATTCACAACCTTCATGAGACTACCAGGGAATATTAGATGTATAAATGTATCTAACAATGTTGATGTCAGGTTGTATTTGTGTTTTTACTGTATTATTTTTTAACAAGATGGTACTACCTGGTGCACCTCTTGACATATTCACCAACGGCATTATAAAGGTTACACAACCTAGCGTAGCCAATGGAAGGAAGCCTATATCATCATGTGTAAGTGAAACTGACAGTGATTTGGCCATTGGCATCACTCTTGTTTATCTGATGTTATGGAGTAAAGACCCTCAACCACAGTGCTCTGCATATTTGTTAACCTATTTGAAGCCTTGTAACCCAAACAACCCAAAAGTCTACAGCACCAGTGAAGCACGAATTCTATAGGACAAATAACTTCTAAGCAAACCTGGTTGTCGGTAAGAAGTTTGTTGTGCAAGACTGACAGAAGAGCAAGTGTACTCTGGCCAGGCCTCTTGACCCGGTTTAGTCAACCAGGATGTTGGACACTGCTGCTCGCAGTCTCATGTATGAACAGCAGTTCAGTTGATCAGACATCCTTTGTAGGGTAGTTATCAAGTTCCATTTTCGAACTGGATAAATTTAGATTAAAAAATTCTTGGATAAATATAGGGTTCTTGATTTTTGGAACAAATCACTGGGTAACAATAGTGGGATCAATGGCTTGTTTCATGCAAAGTTTAGAGATATACTGTACTGTATATAGACATATAAATGAGTTTTGTTTGGATATAAATAGGAGCTGCCTTGTATGGACCAATAAATCTTTTCCAGTTTTTTTTCATTTTTGAGTAAATACTTATGATTTTATTATTTATTTTATACAGTTTAGCCTTTTCATTTCAGTCATTTTTACAGGAATATTATTACTAATGTTAAATTATTAGCAAGAAAATCTACTATATCTATATAGTACTAGTATATAGTATATAGTACTAGTATATAGTATATAGTACTAGTATAGTATAGTAAATCTACTATATACTATATCTATATATCTATAAATCTACTACTATAAACAGCTCATTAATAATAGGTATTCCAGTATACTGCTGTTGAAAAGTGACCAGTGCAAATTGAATGTATTAATTAATTGTTTAATTTCAAATTATCAATAATTACAGTTTCCTTGGAGCAGTTTAAATTAAAGCACATTGTCATCATTTGTGTTCATTACCTCCAGATTCAACAGAGAAGTCAGAAGTTCTGACATCAAGAGGTTATCACCAGCTAAATCTAAAAAAACATTATCAGGATAATGATTGAGTTTAGAGTGTGCCTATTGCATCACAGACACCCATCCAGACCAAGGTTCTGGAACCGTTTCAATTGTACAGTGTGACAGTCACATCGAAGTCACATGAAGTCACAGTCACATGAAGACTCGCTTGACTTCCCCACCAATAAGGTGGTTTAACCCACAAAAGGCATATATATATATATATATATATTTATACCCATTTATATAGGAAAGGCAAACAAAACTCATTTATGGGTTAAAATGCCAGGGGCCAGATTCACGAAGCAGTTATGCAAGTACTTATGAACGTGTACATCTTTCCTCAAGCTTTAGACGGCTTTGGTTATATTTATTAAACAGTTTACAAGCATGAAAACTTCCCAATCAACTGTTGTTATTATTATAGACAGCCTCCTGGTGTTTCGGAGTTCATTAACTGTTTAATAATTGTAAACAAAGCTGCCAAAAATTGAGAAAAGACGTACAGGTTCGTAAGTGCTTGAGTAACTGATTCGTGAATCTGGCCCCAGGTCAACAAATTTTCACAGAATGTCATTTCACATGTACCAACTCAAATTCAGTATCGAGAGGGAAATAATGCATAGCATTGCAATTTAGCATAAACTGCATATTTATTGAATAACAAACCAACACATTCTGAAAACAAAATTCACACACTGAAATAAATATTAACATGAATAACTGAACTGAAGCTCACAATCCAAAATACTATTAAAATAACATTTACTGGTGCTGTTATACTAAAATAAGATATAAATAAAGTGCATCAGGATTAGAAATAACATGTCATAATGTTAAGTAATTAATTATCAAAGGAAGGTACCAAACTGGAAAGGCTATGTAGCACCATCAAATGTGCGGAATAATCAGAGGGTGCTAAATATCACCAAAGATGCCAATACGAGAACAGAAACACATAAGGCGAACGATATCAAAAGCATCCAATTCACCAAAAATTCTATCGAGGGACTAGTGACCGCGAGAGATGATCGGAAAACAAGACACGCTCGTCCTGGAAGTCAGGACATTCAACAAGGATATGCACGACTGTAAGAGGGACAATGCAATTTGGACACTAAGGAGCAGGGTGGCGCTCCATTAAGTGACCATAAGTTAAGCGTTTATGGCCTAGACGCAATCTCGCCAGAGCCGTTTCCCACCGCCGGTTATAGTGGTAGGAGGAAGGCCACGGGGAAACACTACACTTAAGAGTACGCAGTTTGTTACCAACAACAGAAGACCAACAGCCCTGCCAATGGGCAAGGATGGAGGAATGAATAACCGGGTAAAAGTTGGAATAAGGAATACCTTTACAGGAGATGGAACAAGAGCAGATAGCTTCCCTAGCAGCAACATCCCCACACATTTAAATTAACATCAATATGGCTGAGAACCCAGCAAAGTACTGCATATATCATATGATGTCTCATCTCATTTCATTTTTGATGTCTCATCTTATTTTGATATGTCTTAGAATGCATGTTAGAACAGACTGTCTCCTCTACAGTTATTATATATTGTTTCCGCAAGTCACAAGCCTTACTACTGCCGACTGACCATCATAGGGCAAGTGCTCCTTAGAATTTGCGTGCGTGCGTGTGCACGCGTGTGTGTTACAATTATCCATAGAAGAACTGCAGTAGAGGGGTGAGGAAGGGGGGATATGTGAAAAGTGAACTCTCTTCACTGATATATCTATTCTTTGGCTTCCTCCTCACACTGCAGCACTATCTAATGGCAAGCTAAATTTCTGTCAAACTCCACATCACAAATCTCATGAATACTGTTTGTCAATGCTTTAACCTTATTTCACTTATTTTTATGTATCTTTTTTTTTTCCTCTCCTGTCTTCTTAACAGCTCACACATTTATGTTAAATGATTGAACAGAGCAAAGGAAGCGACAGCTAAGTAGAGAAATGCAAAGACAAGAGAGTGGGTTTTACTGAAGATGTTTTTCACCTGTTTATTTCCACTTTTATCGAAGCCTGCACATGTAGCAAAAAATATGTACTGTATTATCAATAGGCTACTCCAAATTTCATTCACATAATGAATAAACTACATCTTAAAAAATGATGTGATTGGCTTTTGTCCTTTAGGAAGAGTTCCCTTCTTTACAGTTGCACACTTCTTTGGTTTGTTTTCAAATGAAGATTTCTGCTTTTTACATTTTGACTCTTTAGAAATATTTGATATGTCACTTAAGAGAGATCTTTTACTGCTTTTTTCTAGTGTGTTCTTATTTTGGAACTTTTTGCTTGCAGGGGCACCTTTATTGTTCTTTGGCAAAGAAGTTTCAGCAATGTCGGTCTCCTCTCTCTGGCTCTGTTAAATTAAACAAATTTACAATTACTTTTCTGTACCGTAGCTTGGTAAAGTAACCAACTTTAACAGGGTTATACAGGTAACTGAATTTATCAATACATCACTAATACACAAAGTACTATATTAGCTGGGGCAAAGTGAAATATGCAAACCAACAAAATTATATGCTTAATACAACTATGTCTCATAAGATAGATTAAAAGGAAATGCCATGAAAGCTCGGTTCAGCCAGCTAGCCACTGGCTGGCTGGACTTTGCCCCTATGCAGGGCAAAGTTCAAAGATTGATCAGACAAGTGTTTAATAATATAATATGCAAGAACATAATTAAACTAAAGAAGGCATATATGGCCCATGCGAGGCAGCTCCTAATTATATCCACCGAAAGGTACCCACCCTAGGTACTGTAGGTATCCTTTCTGATATTGACTTATAGTAATTACTACATCTGGGCTAAGTCCCTTCTACGACACAGCAGCCGAGGCGGAAGGTGGCGGCGATAGCCAAGACAGAACTAAAGAGTTCTGGAAGAATGACTGATCTATTGTAGTCTGCAATTCTCTATCAAAGTTTAAGGATCGTATTTCAATTTAGCCTATCTCTTTCATGAATTTTGATACAGTACTCAAATTATTTATAAGCCAATTCTTACCTGAGAAACAGATTCCACAATATCTCTCCAATGCTGGCTAGATTTACTCATCATGCCGAGAACTTTGAGTGTGGGACCGGTGATTGGGGAGGTTGGAACATGACAAGGTGTGCCTTTGCTCACAGGGGAAAGGCTGTCAGGAGCCCATTCACATCCTGAATGATGTCTGTAAGATAAAGATTACATGTCATGAAAGGAAACATTAACACATTAAATGCAATATAATATTAAATTATGACTAATATGAACACTGAAGTAAACTTGAACATAGCCAGTGTCAAATATACATAAATTAATGACAAATCTTTAGGAGTAAATGCTATGTTACAGCTATTAATAAGTTATACACACAGAGCATAACTTTTGACCATGTTGTGGTACAGCTGACTAAGGCGCATCTGGGAACATCCCGTGGGTAGGCTCGAACCCTCATCACGGCCCTTGTGGATTTGTTAATTAATAGGTTATTCTTTATTACATGCAACAATGCATTTGACATTTTAATGAAAGTTAGAAAAAAATGATCCAATGAAAAGGGAATAAAACAAGCATACCTTTCAGGCAATGCAACAGGAGTGGCTCCAAACCCGGACTTCTTTAAAAGTCGCATTCGTAAAGAGTCGTCTTCACCTGTATCTGCCGCATCCATATTTTCACACACACCTTCAGCAGGGGATCTATCAGAGAGAGAGAGAGAGAGGCGAATTAAAGAGATTAAAATTACCTGCTTCAGTTGTGTTTCATTTTTTTATTGTTAAAGTTACAACTAAGGCAAATAAAAGAACATTTCAAGAAAGTAAAACTGAAGACTTATTCATCTTATTTATATGTCTTATTTATTATTTATTTCATCTTGTTATCTATACATCTTATTTAGCCAGGCAATAAAACAAACTTTTTGCAACAATTATTGGTACCCCAATTCTCCATTTTTCAACCCATTCTCCTGTTTAAATAGTAGTTTTTGCAACTATGTGAACAATAGTACAAAAATTGATGTTCTAATCAATTAGATAGTAGAATTTGGTACTGTTCACTTTATAGAGTCCGAAAAAATTAAGCTAAAAGACAAATATTTCTAGGCCTAGTATAACACACACATGTGCTATATTAGGCCTCAGATATTGTATATTAGGCCTAGGAATGTTAGGTTAGTTTTGTTTATCTTTGCAACATAAATAGAAAACCTTTTGCAGTTTGTCCAAATTCAATAGTACCGATTTCTACTTTCTAACTGCGTTGTACTGTACGACTGTATATGTACTATGGTTCTCATTGTTACTATAAGTACTAGTACTACCAAAACAGGAGGACAGGCTGCATTTTTTTTATGAGGCACTCTGTGCTGTAGTAGTATACATGATAGAGGACATGACAGAGTATACATTATGACTAAATAGCATTTGGAAGGGATCAGGATAAGGATTTTGGATAGGATAGACATTTCGATATGTCCTGAACCTTTATCAAGTATGTTATATAAGGGGTCCACTGACCTGAAGAGTGATAGGACTGTTGGTATCCTTACTGGTGTGGTACACTTTCTGGCACTACTGCACTGCGTGAGGAAGTTCTCTCCAAGAGCATCTACAATGCCTTCATCGTGGACATGTCCGCCAGCTTCATCACACAAGCGAATTAAATGCTGAAAATTTAAGGGTAATGTTATAGGCATTAACTGAACATACTAATGTCCTTATACTGTAATAATAATTCCTGTTGTTGGGGAAAGGAAGCCTTTAAAGCGTGCATCAAGGTCTCCCACTAGGTCCAACTACTGACCTTGCCCAGGATGCAACCCACAACAGCTGCCAAACTCTCGGGTACTTATATACTGATAGGTGAACTGAGGCATCATGTGAAGGAAAAGATACCCAACAATTTTGGTTCCACCCTGGGATCATACCCTGGATCCTCGAGTGAGAGTTGAGAATGTAGACTAGTGTTGAGTGAGGCATTGGTATCACTACCCAGTTCCCACTCTCATGGCTTGAGGAGAAACTTGACCAAAAAGGATGCAAAAGAATTCTTAAAGCAAGGTATATTAAGGCACTATGATCCACCTTTCTGGCTTCAACTATTCCTATCTTGTTTTTTCTAAGACTTTTTCTAAGATTGCACCAGTCCTTTTTCTTTCCTGAAATATATAGATGATCATAACAAAATTAAAAATATGGAAATAACACTAACCTTCAAGCAAGGTCGAAGAGAACCTGTTGTTTGGATATTGTTCGGATGTACTTTGGGTTCACTTGCTTCGTCAATTGCGTTCAGTAAATAAACAAGTGCAGAGTTGAGGCCATTCCACACCTTTTCCACAGTAGACCGTTTAAATACACACCCCTGCATTCTTATCAAATTTGTTTTTAGTGTGGACATGACTTTTAATGCCCCTTTCCTGAAAGCAATGAACAAATTAAATCCTGCAAGTTATTGGAGTACTGTTCATAAGAATTGTACAGAATTCTATCTATTATTTGCAAAATAACTTAAAACTTCAAAACTTTATGCCATTGGAAGGTTAACAGCCTGATATTTCATATAATTTTTATCAGTTTTAAACAGCATCTTAAGTTTTACAAGCAAATAAGCAATATAAGATGTTCATGCTTAATGATTTTATTTTGATGACTATGCAATGCTGTCCTGTATATAAACCTTGGTTTTCCTACCAAGGGTCATTTCAAAAATTAAAATAGGTCAAGAACTTTCTGTGTACACTTTATTCACAATAGCCCAACTGCAATTTTGATGATGTCATACAGAGCGAATGATGCCATTTTGGGCAAAACACCCACGGTAGAAATCTATGACATTATCACACATTAATACCGCTAATAAACTCCTATCTCTAGGTAGCCCATGGGACATGGGTTTTCAAAGTATGCTTCTAGACTACATTGGCTGGATTCACCCAGCTCCAAGCTAATGGGTTAACTGGTAAGTGTGAATAACAAGAGGGTGCTTGGCTCACCCAGTGTGAACACCCAGGGTAGTAGGTGCTGCTCTTTCCTTATCAACTGATTAAGGATACTTGTGTTGCAACATGATTCAATCCCAGAGTAGAGATAGTGCTATGATCCGTGCATGTCAAATGTGCCAGAGTGTGTGTAGTATGCTATAAGCAATGGTGGTGGCTTCTGACCAGTTGAAAGAAAAACCCTCAAGTTTTGAACTTCGATTTATCGAGGATGCCATTACTGAGAATTGTTGGGGAGCAGTTCATCAACTACTGGTATTTCACTTTGTACTTTGCACTACTCATCCTCATATCTGTGCAGTATTTAGGGTACCCATTCTTCTATTTTCAGGGAAGATGGTGTCAAACCAAACACCGCTGGAGGGTTTTAAGATTACCAGAGATAAAAATAAGAAAGCATCTCAACATGTTCCCTTCTAGAACCCCAATTAATTTCTACCCAAGTTGGTTCCACTTATCCTCATCTACTTTAAGGAATGATGAAATAAACCCTAAGCTAAATAATCCATAGTGCAAAAAGAAAGAAAGAAAAACAAAAAATCACATCTACTTATACAAATATCCTTTCTAGTTTGGCCACCCGAGACTAAACTGGGTCAAATGGATACCAAATATCTGCTTCTGTCAGCAATGTCTGAGTGGATAATACCAACTCTGTCAAGGTGTCTAACTGGCTTACATACTAATAACTGTAAAGACTGGGGACACAAGTCCAAAGATTAATGTTCCAAGACATAATTCTTTAAACACGTATCATATCCCTGTGGAATTTAAACAATCCAAATGCTACATCACAGTCACATTTTCTAAAAGTACAGTAGTGCAACTTCATTCATAGTGTATTTTCCTTGATAACATATGATCTTGCAACAATCACATAATGTGCACTCACTGAACCAACATAATTCACCATAATTTGACGATTCTCATGTAGTATCCTGTCAACCACAAGTAAAATTGAACTCAAAGAAAAATAAAGAAACAGGAGATATAAACGTTGACCAAACCACACACTAGAAAGTGAAGGGACGACGACGTTTCAGTCAGTCCTGGACCATTCTCAAGTCGATTGTGATATAAACCTAAAAAACAATTATTCAAAGAATACAGTACTTACTTAGTGTCTGGTTCTTCCTCGACAATATTCTGAAGTTTCATGATGGAGTCTACGACTTCTCCAAGAGGCTTAACATGGAGTAACACTGGGTTGTTTCGGTCCGCCTGATACCCCTTCCCTCCTAGCCTCTGACGCATGATGAATGACAACACTGTCTGAGAAAAATATATATTAAATTTAAGGTAAATAATATGACATGATGCATAAGGAATTTGGTAAGGCTTTATAAAATCAAGACATTTCTTATTTTATCATTTACTGACTGGGACACACTCACACAAAAAAAAATACTAGCATTGTATATTCATATGTAGAACATTCTTGGGTAATCTGAGTATGTGGACAAGAAATGAGAATGCAGAAAAGAAAAATTTAAGATCCTCTTTCACAGCATCAATGCACTGTTCACAGCTATTCAATACGAGATATTGAATAGGGCCTCTGAACACGGGCAGCAGTAAATGAGTAGAAGATACAATAATGAGGAGAAAATGTGTAAATACAATGATCATTTAGCACATGCTGACAGCAATGCTTTTAGTACGGAAGACACAGCAAAAATAAGTGACGTTCAAATTAGCCTGAATATTCCTTTTAGAAAATCTAAATTCTTAAAACATGGCAATAACATTTGATCATTCAAGCGGGTACAGAAGTAAACTATTAACTCATTATTTGCAGCCTAGATGCTGCTCTCCCTTCCACAAATTATTTTAAAAAGCTTGCACTACTTGTTTACCACAGACCATGATCTGCCGACTGTTTTTTATATCCAGTCATTACTTTCTATTTATATTTCTACTAATCCAGGGAAATGTTCGTAAAATTTAAGCAGCATAATGCCAGAGAAGGACAACCAGGCAATGCGAGCTCCTCGGGTTCATTCATAATTTGTTGATGTGTAGAGGAAACTATGTAATTAACTTTTGAAATTATATATGAATGTTGAAAGATACATAGTAACCATTCAGACTGCAACAATAAAGAAAACAGGACGAATACAGCATAGTGTAAGATGTCTACGAATTCCCTAAAGACTGAAATATCTTACTTGATACATGGGCATATTTTTCTTCTGAGCTTCTAGTCTTATATCAGTAAAGCCCTGCTGTGTGATCTCCCTTCCTGGCATATTGCACACCAGTGTCAACGCCAACTCATCACGTGTATTTATTAAAAGCCGGAGATGTGCAAATATGAGTTGTTCTATGTAGAACTTGGAATCACTGCTAATATGAGTCTTGCATGGGCTTTTGGAAATGTTATTAACATAATCAGTTAAAGAACTATTAATAATGCCCACTTCAACTGTCATTGCTTCATTGAGTGAATGATCGTGCAACTCGTTTACTTTTGTATCTCCATCTTCTAACACTGAAGAAGGGACATCATTTTCAAATATGCCCGATATGTTAAAGTCATCTGAAGCAACTGAATTATGTGCAACAGGAAATTCAGATGAAAGCTTGAATATTTGTGACCCATTCAGGAGTAGCTTCAGTAGTTCTCTTTCCATTACTGGCATCTGATTCACTCCTTCAATAATGTATACCTGCAAAGGAAAAATACAAAATTTCTTGAAACAAAATGCTTTTAACACATTACCATTATATTAATACTCACTTTCCCATTTAAATTTTTTCGGACAAATGGCAGCAGAAAAAGATGTGATGTGCGGGGATAAAATAGTGGATTAAAAAATATGTAAGTGAGGTAGCAGCAAAATAATGGTACTTCATGATAGTTTTTTTAACACTGAGATGATAGCTGTCAAAACTATAAGGAGGATGTACAAGAGTGAAGTACTGTATCTACAGTGTACGTGATGGACAGCCATCACAAATAAGACAAATAAGAAACATTCCACATTAATGAAGTCCCATGAGGGTGTATTAGGAGATTTGATTAACTAGAAATATAAGAAAATATCATATGCTAGTCCATTATATATCTTACCACCACAGTACCTTAGAAAAAATGTCCTTAAGTAGCTCTTGGTTCTGTTTGATGTTTTTCTTCAAGCAGCTGTAGATAATGAAATGGTCCAAGCAGCCCGAGTCTTTCATAAATTCACGGTAATCTTGGGTGATTTCAGTCATTTCTCTGACAACTGGATCATAACTGTATGATAGCTTAAATATTAGTAGTTATACAACTTGAGAACATAAGAAAAAAAGCATATGAAAATGGGACATGTTGAAATAGTTACCCAATTATATCAAATTTTCACACATCCATAATATCAACATGTTATAGTACAGCTGTAGAATCACAAATTCATAATACAATAATACATCAAAGAATAAAATGCATTACCTCTGGACTGAAACTATATGGCCTTGTGGCCATAAAGTGGCCAAATGATGCATTCCTGCACAAAAGAAATTTGCATACACAATATACTTTATTCAGTAAATCAGTTGGAGCCATGATTTCGTATATCGCATCACACTATATATACTCGTATATTGTTACTGTAGCGCATCAGAAATAGTGCTAGTAACAACGGCATACTCCTTCACCAGGCTGGTTACCGAAAGATCACTCGTATTTCATGCACTAATTCTCTCATTTTATGAATAGTCAACTAGCATTTTTCTTCCTATAGACCTTAGCCAAAGTACTCGCTACACTGTTTTACTACTTTTTTATAATCCAATGAAATAATAAAATTGAAAAACATTCTTTGCAATCCACAGAATCACTATACAGTAACACAATAGAAATAAAATATGAGAGTCTCAGAGGGAAAGTATAAACATGTTCAACAAGTCCAGCAGGTGTAAAATAGCTCACTAAATCAACACAAAATAAAATAGCTCACATTAAATATGACCCACACATTACTGTAATTAATTTCAAACAACTGATAAATCATATTTTAAAGTGATATTTACTCATACTGGTATTATAAGCATTTTTAGTGTACAGTACAATACTGTAATTAGGTATATTTTGTTGAGAAAATCTCAATGTGTTCTGGTCTAAAAAGATAAATATCAGCCGGTTTGACCAGAAAATATTATCAGCTATCTCACCCTGTCAGAGTAAAAGAGACATATGTATGTGAATGCATGTGTATGTATATATGTATGTATATGTGTGTGTGTATGTATGTGTATAAAGTATATATGGAAGCTGATCAGAATTACATTTCACCTTTGTAAATGCACATTAATGACACTATGTAAAAGACACATCGAACACTATGTAGGGCATACGTAAATCTGTGTACTGTATCTATGTATTTACGTATGTAGGTTAGCTTAGCATTTTAAAAAAGCACCGAATCACCTTCTGTGGTTGATTGTTCAATAAACCCCTGAACTATATGTTTAACACATCTCTAACCCTGTCCATGGAGGACAGAAGAAAATTTATATATGCTGATTAGCATTGTAAATGTGTGGCCACGTCTGTGGTAGGAAAAAAAAAATGCAGTTTCTCAAGAGTGCCACTATACAGAAACTATATGGAATGCCACTATTCCACACTATATGGAAAATGTAAAGACTAGTAACTAACCAACCTTGCACGACGGGCACTTGGTAGTATCTCATCGTTGTCATCGTCTCCTTCATTTGAATCAAAATTAGAATTTAAAGCCGTTCTATACAGCTCATTCCATATATCCAAAACATCACTTGCAGCTGCCATAAATTCTCCATGTTTCTGTAAATAATAAATGGTAAGGTAGATATCAGTGGATATCTACTACGTCAAATAAATCAGTAGAAAGCACCAAGCCAGTAAAACTATACACTAGTACTGTAGTACTTGGAAGAAATATGAGGACAAGGATGTGAGATAGGACAGAAGGGAAGGAATGATTCCTAACTACTGTACTGTACTTGGACCATCTAGGATCACATGCTGACCTGCAATGTTTGCAAGGTGAATCGGTGATAACCTCATCACACCCACTTTCCTTCATCTGGAGCCAATTTAAGTACTGTACACTGCTTTTCTATTCATTTCTGATACATTTTCCAATGATTATTGCAGTGAAATTTTGAGGTACAATTGCATTTCCTTCATTCAGATCATATATACTGTAAACCATATTCTCTGTGTAACCATTAATTTCATAAATGCAACTAAAGAAGTTTCTGAGGCATAACTAAGATATTCAGAAACAAATAAACTTAATATAAACAAAGCAATAACAACAAACAATAAACCCTTCCCAGATGGGGATACTATCGTGACATAAAATTATTTTTACTTACTTTTTTGTTTATCCTTGCCAAACACAGCTGAATTGCTTGGTACTGATCATGTAGGGAGAGGAGAATGGTCCGTTCAGACGACATGAGGTTGAATTTGCGGCACAGGGACATGACAAAGCAGGTCAGACTTGAAACTTGGCCCACAGATTCCCATTCAACTTGACCTAAGTAAATCACTTCACATGCCACATTTTGTTTTTCTATTGAAGACAAAAAAAGAAAGGGAGACATCACCATGTGTTTGTATTAGGGTGCTGCACAAGACAGTATATAATTTATCATTCGCCTATAATTTATCATTTGCCCTACTAAACAACTAAAGAAAGTGAAATGAAAATGTACATTAAAGATATTAAGATATTAAAAGCAACACATCAGAGATCAGGCCGCAAAGATGTCAATCCTCACAATCAACTACAGGCATAACACTTATCTTTAGCACACATTTCTAGATTTGGTTGGCATTGGCATGAAGAAATAGCACCACCATTCAAAGAAATCAACAGCAGCAATTCGACCACTTCACAGACAAGGATTTATTTTCTTTTTGTCCTTCCTCTCTTCCTGCCCTCAAATTCTCAAATACACTTTACACCACTGAATATCCATTCATTCAACATGACCATAATATCTTAACACTCTTACCTATCTTACAATATTCTGACTTTTGCACTTCACACTTTCTAAGATGTAATAGGTATTTATGTTACTTATACTCATAAAATCATATACTGTATAATCCTAAGGTTATTCAGTTGTACTGCTCTATAATTTGTCATGATTATACCACACCAATGTTCAACAATTGTGTATAAGGGTTGGCACAACATTCATGCAGTCTTGTAACCACATCCCTTTATCCTTTTCTACCTGCCACATCCCTTCCTATCCTTTTCTTCCTGCCACATCCTTTCCTATCCTTTTCTTCCTAACCAGGACTTTACACCAATATTATTCCTCTATTTACTCTATAATCTTCACTTAAGAGAAATGTTAATCTCTAACCCAGATAATTTAAATTAGTGCATTATACAGAGAGGGTCTAACTAACCTTCAGTTAGGTATTCATGAACTTTCTCAAGTAAGGCCTTTCTCTGCAAGGTACTGTCCAAAGGCGAGGTGAAGAACACTTTTGTCGCATCCATGGTATTGTTAATTTCGGATGGAACCAAAACTTGCTTCTCGGGTTCACTCATGGCCAAATCTGCAAAAGGAATAGCATTTCAAATAAAATAATAATACATTTATACATACAAGGTGCTATTATTATTAATAATAATAATACATTATTAATAATTTATTCACAAGACGGTGCAATGGGTTTGTGAGTTTTGGGCAGGTTCTAGTATATATAAGGCATTAAATATGCCAAAACTATTAGACAGAAGAAAAAGAGGGGATACGATCACTACGTACAAAATGGTAACAGGAATCGATAAAATTGATAGGGAAGAATTCCCAAAACCTGGAACTTCAAGAATAAGAGGTTATAGATTTAAACTAACTAAACAAAGCTGCCGAAGCAATATAAGAAGATTTATTGTCGCAAACAGAGTAGTAGACGGTTGGAACAAGTTAGGCAAGAAGGTGGTGGAGGCCAAAACCGTCAGTATATTTTCAAAGCGTTATACGACATTGTGCTGGGAAGTCAGGACACAACGAGCACAGCTCCCGTCCCGCACCTACACTTAGGGGTAATTAAAAGTAATGCACAGACTAATACCAATCAGTAAATAAGTGCATTCCCTGTCTCACAAAGAATTGATGGCCAGACATTCAAAATAGCCAGACATTGATGGCCAGATATTCAAAAAGAATTGATTGCCAAAATAGCATTCAGTTAGGCTAGGCTGAGCTAAAGAGAGACATATACTGTACAGCCTTTCGTACCATTAGCCTGCCTGAAACGCTATGAGAGTAAGTGGCTTAACAAGAATGTAAAAAAATCAATGCTACATACTCTCAAACCCATTGTACCTTCTTGTGTGTATGTATACTATATTATATATATATAATGTGTGCGTGTGTTTGTATATATATATAAATATAAAATAAATAAAATTAGACGCTTGGGGATGTTTAAACACAAAATGTTTAAACCAAACCTAACCCCATGCTAGTGAACCATTTTGTACCATTAACCCTTTAAAATGGTACAAATATTCAACATTTATAGAATACCAAACGTTCAGGTTCATACAAGCTACAAAATCTAGAGAAAAAAAGGTTTAAAAATTTGATTTTCTGGACAAAAACACACCAAAAATTGCTGATTACGCTCAAGCGACCCCATTTAGGAGGTAATGGATGGTCGTATTAAGGAAATAGGAACACCCCTTACCCTATTACCCCCTCATACTCACCATTCATCCCCGAGTAAATGAATATTAACACAAATTACAGGACATACGGGGCTACCAGCACATCTGTCAACTTGAATTCTGTGGACTTTGCTCAAGCAGGATTGCCAGAGCCAAATTGCGGAAAGTAGCGAGCTGACGGTCTAAAAGTAGCGAATAAAATTAAGTAGCCCAATTTTTTGGAGTGATTGATACGGGTTTCAGAGTAATATATTTTGATATATAGAGTACACTACACGATGTTAATTGTTTTTTTAATATTCCTGCACACACACACACACACACACTATATATATATATATATATATATATATATATATATATATATATATATATATATATATATATATATATATATATATATATATATATATATATATATATATATATATATATATATATATATAATATACACACATACATATTTAATCACCCACACAAGTACACACATCAATAATCTTTTGTGTCACAAGTGATTCAACAAGAGGCTCACAACAGTCACTATACAAGGCATTTTACATCTATAGCGAGTCACACAGTTACTAGTCTTGCTGCACACCCACCCAACTGGGCGGCAGCTTTACAATCATGTGCATGCATTACCTACAGTAAGCAAATTTCGGATACTTCGCTAAGATTTCGGGCAGCACATCATTATGAATGAAGTACTTACACATTTCTTGGACACTATTGATGGTGTTATCTCTAAATTCCGCGATTTTTTTCACATTCCATTATATAATGACGCAAAATATGTGCATAGTTCTGCTGACAGTTTACATTTAGTCAACCGAAGCCCGACCAGTTGTGTAAGGAGACCTCAACCAGTTGTGTAACTGCAAGTCTAGCATGAACGAACCGAACAAAACCTCTGAAGCACAACCATGCATGAACCGAAGCCCGACCATGCACAACCCGAAGCCCAAGTGACACCCCCGGAGCCCGACCAGTTACGTAACCGGAGCCCGACCAGTTGTGTAACCGGAGCCCGACCAGTTATGTAACCGGAGCCCGACCAGTTGTGTAACCGAAGCCCGACCAGTTGTGTAACCAGACCCCGACCAGTTGTGTAACCAGACCCCGACCAGTTGTGTAACCAGACCCCGACCAGTTGTGTAACCAGACCCCGACCAGTTGTGTAACCAGACCCCGACCAGTTGTGTAACAGCAAGCCTAGCATGAACGAACCGAACAAACAACATCTGAAGCACAACCATGCACGTACTGAAGCCCGACTATGCACAACCCAAAGCCCAGTAACACCCCCGGAGCCCGACCAGTTAAGTAACCGGAGCCCGACCAGTTATTTAACCGGAGCCCGACCAGTTATGTAACCGGAGCCCGACCAGTTGTGTAACCGAAGCCCTACCAGTTGTGTAACCAGACCGAACCAGTTGTGTAACCAGACCCCGACCAGTTGTGTAACCAGACCCCGACAAGTTGTGTAGCCAAGCCTAGCATGAACGAACCCGACCATGCACAACCCGAAGCACAACCATGCACGTACCGAAGCCCGACTATGCCCAACCCAAAGTGAAGTCACACCCCATAGCCCGAACTGCTATGTAACGGAGCCCGACCAGTTGTGTAACTAGACCCCGACCAGTTGTGTAACCGCAAGCCTAGCATGAACGAACCGAACAAACAACCTCTGAAGCACAACTATGCACGAACCGAAGCCCGACCATGCACAACCCGAAGCCCAAGTGACACCCCCGGAGCCCGACCAGTTAAGTAACCGGAGCCCGACCAGTTATTTAACCGGAGCCCGACCAGTTATTTAACCGGAGCCCGACCAGTTGTGTAACCGAAGCCCCACCCAGTTTGTGTAACCACACCCTGACCAGTTGTGTAACCAGACCCCGACCAGTTGTGTAACCGCAAGCCTAGCATGAACGAACCCGAACAAAAAAACATTTGAAGCACAACCATGCACGTACCGAAGCCCGACTATGCCCAACCCAAAGTCCAAGTGACACCTCCATAGCCCAAACAGTTATGTAACTGGAACCCGACCAGTTGTGTAACTGGAAGCCTACCAGTTGTGTAACTGAGCCTACGAACCGAACAAACAACTCCGGAGCACAACTATGCACGAACCGAAGCCCGACCATGCACAACTCGAAGCCCAAGTGACACCCCCGGAGCCCGACCAGTTAAGTAACCGGAGCCCGACCAGTTGTGTAACCGGAGCCCGACCAGTTGTGTATTTAACCGGAGCCCGACCAGTTGTGTAACCGAAACCCGACCAGTTGTGTAACCAGACCCCGACCAGTTGTGTAACCAGACCCCGACCAGTTGTGTAACCAGACCCCGACCAGTTGTGTAACCAGACCCCGACCAGTTGTGTAACCAGACCCCGACCAGTTGTGTAACCAGACCCCGACCAGTTGTGTAACCTCAAGCCTAGCATGAACGAACCGAACAAAACCTCTGGAGCACAACTATGCACGAACCGAAGCCCGACTATGCACAACCCGAAGCCCAAGTAACACCCCCGGAGCCCGACCAGTTAAGTAACCGGAGCCCGACCAGTTATTTAACCGGAGCCCGACCAGTTATTTAACCGGAGCCCGACCAGTTGTGTAACCAAAGCCCCACCAGTTGTGTAACCGGACCCCGACCAGTTGTGTAACCGCAAGCCTAGCAAGTATACATCTCATCCCACCCCCACCAAGCTAAACAAACAGCCCCAGAGCCCAACCAAACTCCATTCCTAGCTCTACCAAACAAACTAGCCCACCTAAAACCCTGCCCTAGAAAGCAACTATGGAGCCATAGCAAACAAAAATTGAGCTCTGTACGAAAAAAGAAACCCGGATTTCTAGCAAACATACAACCATGGAGGCCTAGCAAACAAACCTGGAGCACTAGTACACAATCAACCCCTGGAGCACAACCATGCACGAACCGGAGCCCGACCATGAACAACTAGAAGCCCAACAAGTCACACCCCCGGAGCCCGACCAGTTGTGTAATCGCAAGCCTAGCAAGCAAATATCTCACCCAACCCCCCACCAGTGTGCTAAGTGGGGTGCCACAGTGGTCCATTTTGGGGCCAACCCTTTTTGTCATATACATCAATGACATAGATGAGAATATTACAAACCACATCAAATTTGCAGATGACACTAAGATCTATGGCAAAGTGGGGGGTGAAAGCCACATTGAAACCTTACAAAGAGAGCTTCATGAACTCCACAAATGGTCAGATGACTTGTTAATATCGATAAATGGAAGACCTTACATGTGGGGCGTAACAATTCACGTCACAACTACCAAATTTATAGCACTACCTGTCAACAGATAGATGAAGATAAGGACCTCGGAGTCAGAATCCATCACGTGAGGCATAACAATACACAACTACCAAATCATCAACATTATCTTGGAGTCAGAATCCACCAATCACTGACAGTTGTACAACAAAGTGGGAGCGGCAGTAAAAAAGCAAACCAAACCCTGGGAATAATCATGCGTATCTTTACCTTCAAGGAAAAGAAAGTAGACCTTCAATTGTATAAGTTTCTGTTGAGCCCCCACATGAATTATTGCATCCAGGCACGGAGACTTCATCTTCAGAAAGACATAGCTGCTCTGGAGCCATGTCTTACCAGAGCTATGGAGCTATGTCTTACGACAAAAATCATACCAGAGCTTAGTCATCTCTCGTATCAGGAACGGTTGAGGGCCACAGGGCTAACAACACCACAAACCAGGCATGACAGGGCGGACTTCATAGAAACCTTTAAAATACTAAACAATTTAGAGGATGTCGATCAGGACAATCTTCAAAAAGTCAGATGTTACATGAACAGGGAGCAACGGGTTCAAACTCAACAAG